CCCCCAACCCCCCCGAGGTCCCCCGGTGTCACCGCACTGACCCCTCTCCTGTCCCTCGCAGGGTGCTCCCGGCAGCCGCGGTTTCCCTGGCGCTGACGGCATCGCTGGTCCCAAGGTACGTCCCAACGTTTCCCTCCTGCCTGCCTGGGCCGCAGAGCCGTGTCCTCAACGGGGCTGTGGGGACACCCGTGTATTTGTCACACATCCCCGCGCCGTGGAGAGACCAGTTCTGTGACACCGCCGGTGACACGGCTCCGCTCGCTGTCCCCGGTTCATGTCCTGTGCTGGGGTAACATCTGTCCTCTCCCCACTTCTCCCCAGGGTCCCCCCGGCGAACGCGGCTCCCCCGGCCCCGTTGGCCCCAAGGGATCTCCCGGTGAAGCTGGACGCCCCGGGGAACCCGGCCTCCCCGGTGCCAAGGTGAGCACGGCGGGGGGGTGGGCACGGTGGCTACGAGGATCCACGGCCCTGGTGGCCCCCGCTCCAGGGACGGACGCTGGCTGCCGCGCTCTTCGTGCCGGCCGAGAAGGCGTTTTCCGGGATGCTGGAGCATCTCCTGGGAGCTGGGAGCTCCTAACCCACCCCACGCTGCCTTGCAGGGTCTGACTGGAAGCCCTGGGAGCCCCGGTCCCGACGGCAAGACTGGTCCCCCCGTAAGTTGTCCCTGCCGACGCCCCGCTCCCCCCTTAACTCGCCATGGCCTCTGCTAACGGGGTACTCACCCCCTGCTCCCCATCATAGGGTCCCGCTGGTCAAGATGGTCGCCCCGGCCCCCCCGGCCCCCCCGGAGCCAGAGGTCAAGCCGGTGTGATGGGTTTCCCTGGTCCCAAAGGTGCTGCGGTGAGTATAAACGGGTGCTGCCTCCCCCCGGGGTGGGAGAGCTGCTGGAAATGATGCTGCCCGGTGGATGTGGGAGTCCTGGTCCACGGGGACGGTGGCTGTGGGTGGGCACAGGGCTCCCGTGACACAGGCACCCCAGGAGGGGTCGCTCAGGGGATGTGGCCCCCCAGGGAAGGGGCCTGGCTGAGCCCGCAGGCTCATGCCCTTGGTAGCGGGGTGTCATTGTGGGTCTCATCCTGCTCTCTTGCTTTTAGGGTGAGCCCGGCAAACCCGGCGAGAGAGGCGCTCCCGGACCCCCTGGTGCTGTTGTAAGTATTCACCAGAGCCTGTGGGGGCTTCACCCCGGTGTGGGGTGACAGGGATGGGGCGTGAGGTGACAGGGATGGGGTGTGGGGTGGCAGGATGGGGTGTGGGGTGGCAGGATGGGGCCAGGGAAGGCTCCACGGATGACAGCAGCAGGTTGAGGTGGCCGGGACTCTGGCCTGGTGGCTGCCAGCAGCTTTGGAGCAGGGACAGCAGGGAGGGGACGTGGCTGTGGGCAACTTGCCGTGGCTGGTCCCGTCCTTCGAAGGATGCTACGGCCGCACCAGCCCCGCGCCCCGTGCAGGGGAGGGTGCAGGGTCCCGGGGGGCATCGCTGGGGCGCAGGTCGGGGCTGTGCTCTGAGCACCCTCTTCTTCTCCCCCACAGGGTGCTGCTGGCAAAGATGGTGAAGCTGGTGCCCAAGGTCCTCCTGGCCCTGCCGTGAGTATCAGCCAGCCCTTGGCTACCCACTGCCGCGCTCGGCCACTGGCGAAGGGGCTTGGGAGCTGACTGCCCCCCCTCATGCTTGTCCTGTCTCCCCCAGGGTCCCGCTGGAGAAAGAGGTGAACAAGGTCCCGCTGGTGCTCCCGGCTTCCAGGTGAGGGCTGTCCCCTTGTGAGGGGACAAACCATCCAGGGTGGGGGGTGATGTTGTCCCTTTCCTCATCCCCTTTGCTCACCCACCTCCGGGGTGTCTCATCGCTCCTCTTCTTCCTCCCCAGGGTCTGCCGGGCCCCGCTGGCCCCCCCGGTGAGGCTGGCAAGCCTGGTGAGCAGGTGAGTGTGGGCGAGTGTGGCCGCAGCGTGGGACAGTCCCTGTCCCCTCCCCATTGCCCCTCTCCCAGCCGGGGCTGGGGGGGCTGTGGATGTGGTGTCCCCCCCCAGTGCCCCCCGAGGCGATGTGCTCTGTGTAGCCTCTCCCCTGGGAGCAGTGAGAACCCCAGCTCGTCCCCAACAGCACTGTGGGACCCCCTCCCTCCTCACCTCTGGGAGTGTTCTGGGGCCCCCTCCACCTGTCCCCAGGGCCACCCCTTCCTCCCTGACTCTGTCCCCTCTCCTTCCCACACAGGGTGTCCCCGGAGATGCTGGTGCTCCCGGTCCCGCTGGTGCCAGGGTAAGTTGATCCTCACTCGCTCTCCAGCTGGCTCTCGGCACCCCCCCGGTGCCTGCCGCCCTCCCTGATGGCTTCAGCCCCTCTCCTGCCTCCCCTCTCTAGGGCGAGAGAGGTTTCCCCGGCGAACGCGGCGTCCAAGGCCCCCCTGGTCCCCAAGGTCCTCGTGGTGCTAACGGTGCTCCCGGTAACGATGGTGCTAAGGTAGGGGCGAGGTCTTGGCTCCACCGCGACTGTCGGGGTGATGGGTGACCCACCCTGTCTGGTGGCTCTTGGGGTGCAGATGTAAAGTGGTGGTGGGAGGGGGGGTTGAGTTTGGCTTCAGCCCCTTTTCTGGGGCCGGTGTTGAAACCGGGGAGGAATTTGCTGTGTCGGGGAAGCGCCGGGTTCTCGCTAACACCCGTTTTCTGTCTCTCTTGCCCAGGGTGATGCTGGTGCTCCCGGTGCCCCCGGGAACCAAGGCCCCCCCGGTCTGCAGGGTATGCCCGGAGAGCGTGGTGCTGCCGGCCTGCCAGGCGCCAAGGGTGACAGAGTACGTGTCCCCCAAAATCCTGATGTCCTCCCCAGTCCTTTGCTCCCAATGATCCCTGTGCCCTCCCCTGCATTGTCCCCTTGGAGCTTGATGTGTTCCCCTAAGCCAGGGCCGGTGGGCAGCAGCCCCTGGGGAGGGGGTGACACTGTCACCTCTGTCCCCATCCCAGCGTGGCCCTTGGGGACAGCCCCTTGCTGGGAGCTGGGAGCTGAGCCCAGCTCTTCCCCTGGAGGGTGGGAGGAGGAGGAGGATGAAAAACCAGGGGTGCCTCGGTGCTGCTGTGTGAACAGAAGAGGAAAGCGAGGGGTGAACCCCCAGCAGGGACCTCCCCACGTAACCCACCATCATCTTCCTCTCCCAGGGCGACCCCGGTCCCAAAGGTGCTGACGGTGCTCCTGGCAAAGATGGTCTCCGAGGTCTGACTGGCCCCATCGGCCCTCCCGGCCCTGCTGGTGCTCCCGGTGACAAGGTAAGGCCATCCCCCGGCTGGATGCTGCCCTGGGGACAGATGTGTCACCTCCTCACCACAGCCTTCACCTCTTTTTCGGTTTTCCTCCCCTTTTCCAGGGTGAAGCTGGTCCTCCCGGTCCTGCTGGTCCCACCGGTGCTCGTGGTGCTCCCGTAAGTGGCCCCCCCCCCCCGGTGGATGGCTCTGCCATGGGTGGCCATCCCGTGGTGGCCGTTGGTGGCCGTTGGTGGCCATCCCTTGCTTGGCGTCACACCGTTCTCTCGCCGTCTCTCCTAGGGTGACCGCGGCGAGCCCGGCCCTCCTGGTCCTGCTGGATTTGCTGGCCCCCCTGTAAGTGCGATGGCCTCGCTCCTCCCTGCCCCAGGGGCCTGATCCTGCCCTGCCGGGGTGATGCTGAGCCCCCTGCCCCAGCTCACCCCGCTCCACTCTCCTGCAGGGTGCCGATGGCCAGCCTGGTGCTAAAGGTGAAACTGGTGATGCTGGAGCCAAGGGTGATGCCGGTCCCCCCGGCCCTGCTGGCCCCACTGGTGCTCCTGGCCCCGCCGTAAGTTGCCCCCCACCCCACACCCACTCGGGGTCCAGCCCCACGCTGCGTCTCACCCCTCTCCTCCTCCTCTTCCTCCTCCACAGGGTGCTGTTGGTGCTCCTGGTCCCAAAGGTGCTCGTGGTAGCGCTGGACCCCCTGTAAGTACCAGTCTCGTGGTAGAAGGGGGGGTTTGGGGCCCCCAGGGGACCCCCCTGTATACAGACT